TTTCTTTCTATTTATTGCAGCAGCTTACTGTATAAATATGCCCATTGGCAATAGAATGAAACATATCAGTATTCTACCATTCCTAAACAACTAGCAAGGAGAAATCTAATCTCCTCTCCTTACTGTCGACCCAGGTTGTATTAGCATTCTACTAAAGCTGAAATGACCACAATACCCTTAGGTAAGTTACAACAGACATAAGAAAGAAAAATAACATGAAAAAGACAATAGTGCCCCTTTTAACTAATTCTAACAATTCTAACATGTTCATTATCAACAATCACCCCTGCTTGAAATGTAGACCTGAAATCTCCAGTTTCAATTGAAACTTGATGCCAAAAAGTGATTATCTGAGTTGTTACTTTGTGAGTAGTATGACCAGATTAATTGAATACAATTATAAATAAATGGTCCTCTTGCTATTAAAATGTTAATTTTCTTGTCAAGACAAGTGTGCTAGGTGTGGGTTGGCAATCTACCATTTTGGTATCATGTGGAAGGAGCCAGACCTTGTTTAAAAGAATTTGTTGAGTTCAAGAACGCATGACAAAATAGCCCATGATTTAGCAGCTATGGTCATTTTGTTAGCTCAGAGACTGCAACCTAAAGACTTATTAAACTTCATTTCAGATATTCACTTAGAAGTTACTTTCTGAATCTAAAAGTCCAAGTTATTTCTTACACTTTCATTTGGTTGTTACCCAGGGTTATGTCCCCAAGAAGAACAGAATCCACTACTCTGGACCATTGTTGCCTTCAGGAGGAAACATTGAAGAAATGCTGGAAGAGCATGAGAGGCAAATCCAACAGGCTGTCCGTAAAGCTCGTGTTGATAAGGCCAAGACTAAGAAAAATTACAGAGAAAATAGTGGGTCTGAAGCTCCTCTCCACCATGGGTCAAATGGCAGGTGATTTTGTAGAATTGTGTTGCTTCATCACTGTTACGGCATAGCATCACTCTCATCTTTGTTGGAGATACTATGTTTGTGGTTTGGCTATTGTTGTCACCATCAGTAAAAGAATAATGTCTATATGGTGGAGCTTCATCTATACATGATCCAGGATTTACCACGTCATACCTTATCTGAGGACTTGCTAAGACTTTTAATCTGTCAAATTGTGGTCATTCAAAACTGCTGGTAATCCAGAATTAAATGGAATCAGCTACCACTGACTATTATTTATGGTGGCAATCTGTGCAGCAAAAATTCTCTGAGCAGTACAAGAGAGGGCCTCAGTGGCTTCTGTAGTTCTACCTGTATTTTGAAGGGCAGGGAGTCTGTTTTGTACAGCCCAGAAGAGGTTTGGTGGTTCAATTTCACCTCCTCAAAATTATATGTTCCCAAATTGGAGTGAATTTATTAGGCCAAGTCTATACATATTTAATACAAGCAACAGTCCCAAATGCTTTTCTATATTATATTCTTTTACATTTAAATACAACCTATTTTATTCCCCTCAATATCTTCATAGTGGACCTTTTGCTCTTACATTCCTTAATGATGTTTTTGGTTTGAAGGGAACTTTGTATAGGTCCCCTACCTTTCCCTTCCTTTCCCTACCTTCATACCAAACACAGCCTAAAAGATCATTACCACATTGTCTATATTCTATTCTAGTCGCAATCACCTTTTCTTATATAGCTTTCGTTAGTACGACTCTTTTGTGGTTTTCCTTCGCTGTGATTTCAAGAAAATTGGTGCCCATGGTTGGGTTTGATATAAAAACATGGGTTTCACTATTATGTAGTAAAGACATGATACCCAAAAAACTTATAACCAATCAACCAGCATCATAAAAGTGATAACCAATCAGGTGTGTTTTCATCAATGCTCTGTTCAATTTTCGGTAAGTTGCTTACCTGGGTAAATGCACTTATCCGGGTAAGTCTTTCCCAAGAAAAACTCATCCGGGTAAGTGCATTTACCCATGTTCTTTTATTTTTCAAGTAAATAAGGCAATGACCATTTTAGCCATAAAAATCTATTATTAAAATAGTCATTTTTGTCCCATTCAAGTATTGGCAACTTCCCCCCAAGTGGAAAAGATATTTGATACTTAGGAAAATAAACTTTCCCTAATCCCCACATAAATCTGAAAAAAGAGCAAGGATTTTTTTTATTGATCAAAGCCTTTCTAGTATTATGTCTTTACGGCATCATAGATTTTTCCTTTTTTTAAATAAATATACAGAAAATATGTTCTTGACTTCAATAGTGAAACTTTAACTTATACTTTCAAAAGTATGTTTTCCCTTGCTGGTTTGATATTATGTAAGATCAATTTACACCCGTCCTCTTGATCCAATTTCCAACCTGCTAATGAAATGGTTAATTTTACATATTGCATTCTGATGGTTATTCTTCTTTGATTTAATAAGCTAAAGGGCACCTTTGCAACCAAATGTTTTGAGATGTCCAATGGTCCAAAGAGACTCAAATTCTAGGATATAAGATCCATTCTTTTTGAGCTATTCTCCCTCAGAAATTTTTATTGATTTTGTAAATGTATTGTCTCAAACCTCCTCCTATTTTTGTATCATCTAATAGGAGTAATGAGGGTCTTTAATTGATTGTACAATATTCAGGATTAAAGAGTTATTCAAATGAGAATTCATAAAGTTGTGTAACCAAAAGTATGCTTTCATTATACTGTGTAATTCCAAGTCTTGTTCAAAGCGCTATGCACTTGTACTGTAAGTAGTATCTTCATGTCTACTGCAGAATGAAATCAACAAGAATGTAACTGCGAAGTCAGATGACCAGTATGCTAGGAAGTCTGATTGCAAGGAGCCTGGATTGGTTGGAGACAAAACAATGCATAAGGTGTGGGTCTCAGAACAGCCCAATGCATATGGAACACTGGTGTATTCACTCATGATAGATTGCTCAGATGTGCATGCTTGTCTCCATCCCATCTCGTCCCGGTTACAAGATACTGTCTTTCGCTAGAAGTTTTTCTACCATACAATACATTTCTAACATTCTCCTGAATCCTTTATATCATCTGGTTTAACTACTGAAATTCTTTGTACTACAGTTATAGAAATATAGCGAGCTGAAAAAGACAATACAACAAGCTTTCTACTATTCTTTTCTTGCTCTATAATAACCACTACACACATCTATGAAAGCAATGGGATTTGTAGTGCCAATATCTCAAAAAAAAAAAAAAAACTCAAGGAGGCTCATAGAGAAATGAGAGAGGCCTGGTAGCAAGAAATGTTCTTTCTCCCTATTTTGGTAGATCTAATAAAAAAACTCAATGATTGACTTAAACCTCTCCTAACATTTCTGATAAATACTTAACCTCTCCTATTTTGAGAGGGAGGAAAGTTGGTCAATGGGATTCATGGGATTGTGAATCCCCTTTACCAAGAAACCCATGTTTTTTTTCTGATTTATGTAGGGGCTAGGGAAAGTATATTTTCTTGGGTATATACTCATCTTCTAGGTGGGTAAATTAACTTTTCCATCTTGGAAAATTTTCTAACACTTAGATGGGACAAAAATGTCCCTTTGGTAATGGAATTTTTATGGCTAAAATGTTACCTGGGTAAGGGCATTTACCTGGGTAAGTGCATTTACTTGGATATTAAGTAACTTACTGAAAAGAAAACAGGGCCTTAATCTCTCCAAATAGAGTTAATAATACCTTAACCTCCCTTTTGTTAATTTGGCATTAGGAACCTAACAGAAAATCAATGAATAAGTGTATAAAAACTTATGGTAGAGTGGCCATAGGCCCTTATTTTATCCTCAACATGTTCGAGTATGCAATGGCCATGTGACAAGCCACATGTTAATGGGAGATGTATCTCATGGTTATATCTTTGCAACACTTTCACACACAATCATGCATTTCTTAAATTATTATCTATTTATTTATTTTCTATAAAAAGAAATTTATTTAATTATTTTCTTTAAAATCTTTTATTAGATCTACCAATATTGTTTGGATCCTAATTCCAGCTCTTACTAAGTCAATGGAAATTCATTTGGCTTGGTGTAGGTTGGATGGCCAAGTGGTTAGATCCTTTTGTCAAGGAGACACTTGTCTCAATCCGAAAGAGCTTGAACTGATTTTGCTCCTAATATATAGGTTAGTTGTGTTCCCCACCTCAAAATGAGGTAAGGAACGTTGGGGAATACCTATAAATATTGTTGTCTCACAATGTTGAAAGACAAAGTTGAGAATAGTAAGTCTTGAAGGGAAAGCAACCTCCACTTTATTTTGAGCACAATTCGAATTCAGCTCTTTCTCTTTTGTGCATTTGCTCGAGTGGATTAGTGTCTTGGGATCCCCTATTGTATTTTTGCTCTCCTTCCTTTTGTGCGCCCCATTAAGATACTTAATTCAGAGAACAAAGAGTGGAGACTTTCAGGTATCTTGAAAAACATCTAAGAAGCACTTATGAGCATTTGGTGAAAAACACTTATTTAATTTAAATAGGGATAGTATAGGTATCTTTAAAATGACACAGTGGGTCAGGAATGTCAGAAAGAAAATAAGAACTTATTGCATAAGTACTTAAAAATAAGTCCAAAATTTGGGTTTCTCAACTAAGTACTTATGCTCATAATAAGCATTTATTTTAGGCTTCTTTTCTCAAACACAAATAAGTGATTATTGGTATGGTCCTGTCCAAAAATAAGTTCTAATGAGCAGTTAGGTTGCATTTTGCATTCCTTATTTTAAGGACTTATTTCCTTTTTGTAGTTAAAATATCAGTGTTTATAGGGGCATTTTAACAGAAAAAGAAGACAAGTCCTTGAAATAAGTAATGCCAAATGCAGCCTTATAAAGGAAAAAATAAAAACAAAGAGGGTGAATTTGACTCTTCCCCGTTATCGACCAGATCGGAGAAAAGAAAGGAAAAATGTAAATCTATCTTTAATTCTTTTTTGGCTAAATTACAAGGACCCGCCCCTATACTTTAATTTGTAACAAAGACCCCCTTGAAGTTTTATTTTCGTGACAAATATCCGTTCAGTCGGAAGGCAGATAATGAAAAGTGTTAAATTACCAAAATACCCCTACCAAACTTTCTCTATCTTCTTTTTCTTTCCATTTTCTCTTGAAACCTAACCAACCCTAAAATACCTCCATTGGAAACCCATGCAGACACACCTTCGACCGATCTTCCATTCAAGGGTGGTTGGACATTGGCAACCGGACCTACCCAATCACCAAACTACCCCTCCCGCAGCACCCTCGCCCATCCCCAACCACACTCTCAGAAGCCTCATTTCTAATTTCACCCTCTCTTCCCCTCCAAAACTACAGTCTCAACCAAACCCCCAGACCCTAATATCCACTCTCACCTCAACCGGAACCCCGCCTTACACCAGAAGTTAATAGAGACTGGTGTTGTTTCTGTTGTTCTCAATTGTGTTGACTCCGAGGATTCCGGTATCCAAGAATTGGCGCTTTCACTTCTCTTGAACCTTAGTTTGGATGATGACAGTAACGCGGGTTTGGTCGCCGAGGGGACCATCGGTGCCTTCCTGTTTACAATTAGAGGTCTTGTTTTGCTCCTTTGGGATGGCAACGGGAGGGGGAAGAAAGAAGCAGCGATGACTCTTTACGCCCTATGTTCCTTCCCTAATAACAACAGGAGATCTGTTGAATGTGGGTCGGTGCCAATTTTGATTGAAATGGCCAGTTCTTTGTTGAAAGGGATGTTGAGGTTCTAAGCTTGTTGGCCAAGTGTAGAGAAGGGAGAGAAGAAATTGAAAAGTTTGATGGTTCTGTCTGGATTTTGGTCAGAGTGTTGAATGGATACTGAAAGCAAAGAATGTGTTGAGAGGCTAAGAGCGAGGATACTGAAGAAATTTGTTTTGGATTCCTGGAAGGTGAGAATGAGAAGATTAGAAGAAATGCTTCGATTTTGATTCAGACTCTACATAGGTATTCATCAAGGTTTGATTTGAGTTGGGGTCTGTTTAATTAGCAAGGATTTTTTGTTTTTTTGTAGAAGATGAAGTGAAGGATATCTTTCATTTTGGGATGAAGCATTGATGCTCTATTCTTCTTTATCGTCAGTAGAGGTGAGTTTGGTTCTATTCATTAGCCTTCCTCCATTGGATGGTCGTGTAAAAAAGAAAAGAGTAGATTTTAGTGGGGTTGAGTCCTATCTGTATCTTGTAAATTCTCAATAAACATATCAAGTTTCTATTTTTGTTGTTCATATAAGAAATCTTTCTTTTGATCATCTGAACTGCCAATCAAGGAAAGAAAAAAATCTGTATTCCATTGAATTGTAACTTATCTTATTTTCTAAAGAAAACAAAAGAAAAGGAAGACAAATTAAAGAGAAAAACTGAAGACAAAGAAACTGTTATGTAAGAGTTCTGTTGTTTTTATTTCTTGGAACACGATAGACAAAACTTAATTCTAACTGAGCTGCACAAGTGCTTGACTACTTGGATTATGGTCAATATTAACTGTTTGCTCTGGAATCCAAAACGAAGGGAAACTTAGGCTGTGTTTGGAAGAGGCATAAAACATCATCGGTGTAAAAAATACAATGATGACGTTTTACACTGAACCATAAATATATATGACTGTTGTATCTTGAAATTGATGTAAAAAGATGTTTAAGTTTTACATTGATAAAATCGATGTAGTTTTTACATTGATTATCGATGTAAAACTTTAAAAGTAATGAGGTTTTACATCTATCATCGACGTAAAATTACACTCCATCCAAACACACACAAAATTGAACCGGAGTGTATTAATCATTTGGACCTCAACATTCGTTGTATTAATCAATTGGAATGAATGGACGAACCAGAAAGGTGAGCAAGGAAAGACAATGAACAATATAAAAAAGTAAGATGATTTTATAAATTAACGAAAATTGTAATTTGGGTATTTAGAAAGCTTTAAACCGTGAGATAAGAATCTTTTTTGAAGTTAACTGACAGAACACTGAGAGAGGGGGTCTTTGTCTAACAGCTAAAATTTAGGGGGGTCTTTATTGCAAAAAAAAGGTGCGGGGTCTTTGTCACAGACCCCATAGTACAGGGGGTCTGTATAATTTACCCTTTTTTTTACAATATTTTATCTGAATTAATTGAAAGGTTTAACTGAGCGGTTGGACCATTCAACCCATGGCTCAATCACCGAAACGATTGTCCCAGTATTTGGAAGCATAAGAGCTCTAGAAACGCCATCAGTGTTGGTATTATATTTCAGAATTACTTAAAGCAACACTGGTGGATAAGAGCTCTAGAAAACATCCTAAATTCATCCAAGAAACAGTAGATGATGAGACATGGTGAGAAAGTCGGTGTTGTGTTTCAAATAGACCTGGCAAAAAGTTGATCCAACCAGCGAATCCGATCCAACCCAACCTGAAAAAATAGGGTTAGGGTCTCATATTGAACTACCTGAATTTGAGAATGACCCAATCCGACCCAACCTGGAAAAAACTGGGTTGGGTCATGGGTCAACCCATTGACCCGATTGTTAGGTCTAATTGGGACTAGTTATGCATTATTAGATGTTTTCACTCTTTAATTTTTACTATTTAGTCTTTACTCCTTATTGTTTACTCTTTTAATTGTTAAATGTTCAAGTTTTTTTTATTTTATATTTGAAATTTTAAGATTGATTCCTTTAATTTTGACATTTTTCATGTATTTATTCTTTATTTTTTAAATTTTAATTACTTTTTGGGATGACCCGAATTGACCCAAGGGTCAATCTTAACCCAAACATTTAGAGTTAGGGTCTAACATTTGGCAATCCAACCCAAAATTCAATCTGTCCCGAAATTAACTCAAAAAATAATCTTGACCCAACCCGAACCTGATCCACCCAACCCAATTGCCAGGTCTAGTTTCAAAGCAATGCAACTCATCGAACTTAAAGCGCAATGTGAATCTGATTTAACTTTGTTTTTCTTTCTTTCATAGTTTCATGGATGGGGGCACGTAGTTTTTCTCTTTATCTTCAATTCATTTCCCTCCAATACTGTTGTGTTTATCAGCTTGGTAATTAGCAATTTATTTGTTTTGCTAGCATTCCTGTTAGTCTGCTAATTAATGTCAAACCAGTCAATTCAAACTAACCAACGGAAAATGAACCAACCAAAAATTCACTTCTCCTTACAAATTAATGTGAAACCAGTCAATGCAAATTAACCAACGGTTTGGCGTTTCACAACGGCAGCAATGTTATCATTGATGGGAAGATGTTTCCATTGATAATGAACGTGTATAGTGATTAGACCTTTTCATGGGACGGGATCGGGCTTTACTTTTGTTAAAATTTGAATGCCCTTGGCCCAAAGTCCGAGCCGGAAATAGTGTAAAGTTAGATTTTTTTTTTTGTTTAAAGGACGGGTTTTGAAACAGGATGAATTTTGGGATTCTACGTACAATCCACAGGTACAGGTAGGATACAGTATTAGGCTAAACCTGACCCTCCCCGATGTATATTGTTGGACAGCATATAAATTTTAGTATTAGGTGTTAAATTTAATAATCTTTTGAATTTTATGTGAACCATAATTGATAGTTTATATGTTTTTTTTACATGTTTTAATCAAATAATTGAAATTTTTGTTGTTTGTTTGTGTTATTTTACTTATTTATTGCTTATATATAAGAAGAAACATAGGGAATTAGATGTGGGTTCTAAACCCAACTTGCTCTTATCCTTGAATGTGGGAAGGGTAGGGTTGGGGAGGGTTTCGCATTTTCATGTACGGAAAGGGTTTGGTTTCTCAAAATCTAACCTGTTACGGGTTTTGAGGCAAGTATGGGTTGGGAGGTTTAAGGAGGCAAATAGGGTTTAGAATTTACAGAACTCTTCCCAAACCCACCCAATTGCCATCCCTAAAATCAGGCCCAAAGCCCGGCCCATGAATAAATCTCATAGATCGTCTAGGGATTTGTCTAACGGTCTTTGAACGATGGTGTTTAGTGAAAGAGAGAAATAGGGAAGAGTTCTCCCCTCCCTTTTCTCTCTTGTTCAGAACTATAGTATCCCTTTCCTCCTCTTTCTCTGGCCTGGTGGGGAAGAGGGCTTTATTTTTATTTTATTTATTTTTTCTTAACATTTTTTGGTGGAAAAATAATCACATCATTTGAATTTACCCCCAAAAGTCAGGGGAGGTATTTGGAGAGGTTAAAAGTCAAGGTAGGGTCAAGTATTTATAAAAAAATTCAGGAGAGGTTTAAGTAATTTACGCTTAAAGATTTTAAAATCATTTTGAAGATGTCAATGCGATGTGTCACTCTATCATTGGTTCATTTATGTTTGAATTATGTCATGGCAATTTCCATACCATAGATTTTTCTAATGAAAATTAAATAAATTATTTTACATCTTTAATGTGATTGGTTAAAATTTGCTTTTAACATCGAAAAAAATATTTAAAATGCAACATAGTTGGACTCTAGATTTTGTCCAATTCAATTATAATATTCCTAAGTCTGCTATTCTTCAACCAAACTTGCGCTTCTTTTCAGCCCCTTTTTCTTTATTTCTTTTACTATCTTGCCTCAGTTGTCTACTTGCCTCTAACTATTCATCCAATTGCTAAATATCTATTTTCCTTTCTCGAGGCATCAAAATTTATTTTTAAGATTCGGTGCCACCTTATATTTTCCCATTTCCTAAATTTCTCAACTTCTTCATCCATGTTGCCCATCTTTGAAAATCCCCTTAACATAAGGAATCTATTTATAAAGGTATAAATTGGGCCATGTTGGGCCAATACTGCATGGCCTGTGGGCGAGCCATGCCATGCTTCACTCCCTTGGGATTAGAGGTGTAAATTGGGACAGGCCGCAAGCAGCATAACATGGCTTGACATGATTTTAGATCAGCTCAGCACAACCTAGCACGATGACACACGGGTTGTGTTAGGCACAGAATTATCATACAGGCCATGCTGGGCTGGGGGTTTCAGGTCCACGGGCCAGCATAGCCCATGAGCTCGCAATAGGCCGAGCACGGCCTGGCCCCAATGGCTAGTTTAAGGTTTTGGGGTTTTTTTACAAAAATATCCCCTAACAACTATAAATAGCTAGTTTTGGGGGGCATTTTGAGTAAAGTGATAAATAAATTTACAATGACCAAAATACCCCTCCCAACAACTAAAAAAATGGCTAGTTTTTAGGGTATTTGGGGCAATTGCATTATTTTTAATTCGTATAAACCGCTCTATTCTCCACCATTCTCATTACACCAATTTAAAAATTCTCTTCTCATACTTTCTCAGTCTCTTATACACTTTCATACTCTCAATACTCTTTATACTCTCCAATTAAGTCTCAACTTTTTTCAAGTTTCGACAAAAAGAAGGCTTGCTCAAGTATCTCAAATTAGCAATTTGGAAGACTTGGAAGCTTCGTTGTTTAAATCAAGTTGAGATTCTGAACTGACAATCCAGGTGAGTGCAATTAAATTAATTTTTTTTAATTAAAAAAAAAAATGATCGGCTCCTCGTGAAACCAATTCTCCAACATGTTCAATGCCAACAATGTTCAGTCACGACATGATAGCATTAGAATTGATATGGATGATACTGACATTGTTTGAGTTCCCACCCCTAGTACTACTGTTGGGAGAAGGAAAAAGAAAGGAACTAAATTGAACTAGCAATCTAGGTGAGTGCAATTAAATTTACTTTTATTTTTTTTAGAATTAAAAAATGATTACTCCTCTCGAAACCAATTCCTTAGCATGTTCAATGTCGATGATGTTCAATCATACTATGATAGTGTTAGCATTGATATGGATGCTACTGACATTGCAAGAGTTCCCACCTCTAGTACTACTGTTGGGGGAAGGAAAAAGAAGGGAACTAAATTAACTAGTCCAATTTGGAAATTATTTTAAATAGATGAGGTTGAGGGGAAGGAAAAAAGGGTCATTTTCCAAAAAGGAAGGGTCATCCATGAGATTCAAGAAGAAGAAGAAGATGAAGAAAAAGAAGAAGAAGAAAAAGAAGAAGAAGAAGAAGAATCACAAACACAAGTTGGGTGTGGGGATTTTGGTACTTTTAAATATTTACAAGAAAAAATGAGGGAAGAGTTAGCAAAATATATTGTACATGTTAAACAACCATTTTTATTAGTTGAGGATAGTAAACTTGAAAAATTTTTACGTAATTCTCTAAATGCTCAATTTAAAAAAGTTTCTAGAAATACTATTAGAG